TCAGGGGGGCGCAAATAAAACACACTACTGTATACTTAACTACAAATGCAAAATTAAATCGTGTCACTATAAACGCACACTACGTCATTTATGTTTGTGTTCATCGCGCTTACGCAACCATCAAATTGTACACGTGTCGATACACTGATGGCGCTGTCTTAATGCGTAAGCAACGTAACGTTTGCACTATGTCGATATTTTTTTCGATAAACAAATCACCGCATAAGTTTTTATTTGATTATAAGTAATACATAGATAAATAATACCAAGGTGTTATTTGAAATTCTTTTTTTAAAGTATCTAAAAATGATCTTCGGAAAAAAAACTTAGAAATTATTAAAATAAAGTTTATTATTTTGCTACAGGTTTATTTTAAATTATGCAGGATAAAATTTAAAATATTTAACAAATCGAAGTAGGAGGTTTAGTTAACTTATTTTAAAAATCAGATTTATGAAAACAAAAGTCCTATCAGTTTATGGTCTTAGATGGTGTTAACCAAGTTTTTGTTTTTATTATAAGGCTTCAATCACAAAACCGCTATTTAAAAAAAGTTGTTGATTTTGAAGAGTTATTAAATGAACTATCTGGAAAATATTTAATAAATTAGGAAAATAAAAAAGTTTTACACTATATAACAGTTTAAAAAAGTGAACTTTAAACAGACAGCTGCTTAAAAATAAAATGTGACATTTACCTAGGGCTAAGTATTCCTCAGAAAAATGTTTTGCTAAACTAATGTACAATTGATGGCCGACTTGGCTACACCAAAAAAGCGTTAAATGTTTTAAAATTTAGACTAGAGAGTAACCCTGTAATATGATATATGAAATGAAAATAAAACAATTGACGGAGTACTATGCATGTTCTAAATGACATTTTGGTTATATACATAATGCCTTTTGCTGCTAGCATGGTATTCCGTCAATTGCTTAATTTTCATTTCATCCATGACCAAGGTATAATAAATTTTTTATCAGGGTTACTCTCCGCTTTCAATTTTAATGCCGTCAGCGCTTTTTGAGTAAACCCTGGTCGGCGATCGATGGTAATGTACTACTTAGTCAATGTCCGTGGTGCAGGCATACATGTTCCAAAAGTTTTACGTACATTACGATAGGCTTTTGGTGAGTAATAGTTAAGTGTTAGGGCAAAGTATTGCTTGCAAACTTGTGAAGAATAACATAAACATTATTGTTTTTTATGTCAAGGCATTTTTTCAGTTTAATTTTCCTTGGCGTAAGTGTTGGCTCGTACTCGCAGTGGGAGTAGGACTAGTTTGGGCTATATAAGGATTTTTTTCAAATTGTGACTTTCGAGACAACTAATGGACTTTTTCCGGAACATACAGCTTTCTTTTTTCGAAGTAGACGTTATTGTGCAATCACCACGATCACCCTAAAATAAATAATTTACTAATTTACTTACGTAAGTCATAAGATTCAATTATAAGTAATACATATATTTTTTTTTTTTTTTTTTTTATATATATATATACATCTAACAATGAGTTTAAAATAAGATGAAGAGGAAAAGTAATAACTAGTCCAATGTAGTGTAATGCGACCACTATCAACATCGTGTCGTTTACGAAGAACCTTAACAATTATCTAAGCCTATGCTTATGCAAAAGACAAATGCTTAAAAGCTAATTTTATATAATTGGGATAATAATAAGATAAGTATTTTTGTCTTAACTATATAATATCATTAACTACGTAACTACATACATAGTACAGCCTTCTTAGCAACACTATCTTGCCATTGACTTCCAATTCAAAAATAAAACCATCCGGCAGAAGATTTTAGATTTTATGTAAACATTAAAAATTAAACTTATTTTCTCTCAGATTTGCTTTGAATATTCAAAATATATATCATCGAGGCCTGTGCTCCAGCCTGTGCAGCTGTGGGACATTTATGGGGCCGTAGCTCAACTCTATTCAAAATATAATTGAATAGAATAGAATAAAATATTAAATTCTTTATTGAACAAAGCAAAACAAATTAGAAGAAAATAAAAATACGAAGGAAATATATTTTTAATTTACCATTATAATAATAATATATAAATACCGTTCCATGTTATTCTTATTTGTAAGCCGCTTAACCTGAATTAATCCGTACTCGGAAGCCATTACTAACGCACCGTCATCCACTAGTCGTCCAGTCTGGCGTAAAACGCATTTCATCGGTAGATGGGCAATCGAGAATGTGTTTCTTCAAATCAATAGACAATTTAAAAAAAGTGGCGATTTAACTACAGTCACCAATGATTTGTTATTCTCTGCAGTTGTACTATGTTTGAGATACTCTAAAAAATACTCTTGTTTCAATGTAATTTTAGAGCCGTGTTAGCTCAGATGGTTAACGCTTGCTGTAAATATAACAGAACGCGAGTAACGCGGGTTTGATCCCTGCCGGCACCAATGAAATTGTTAATTGCAATTTTAAGTGCTGATTTACTACGTGCTCGGCGGTGAAGGTAAACATCGTGAGGAAACCTGTATGTTTGAGGAATAAGAAAAAATATTTCGAAAACATGTGAAGTTCGATAACACGCATTGGGGTAGCGTGGCGGACACTTCCTTGCCCTAAAACCCTCTCAGAAATGAGGGGAGGCCCGTGCCCAGCAGTGGGACGTATATAGGCTGTAACTTTACTTTACAATGTAATTTTCTTATGGAAAAAGAATATAAAGCTTTTTGATTTGATATTAAGGACAGCAGTGAAGTTTCACAATAAAAAAGCTTTACGACTTGCCTTTGTTATGTGAGCTAGATTAGGTTAGTTGGAACAAAGCGTTCTAAAAGCCACTCAGCGGTAATTGAATGCACGCTCCTTTTACGTCGATAGCCATTCCATTTACAGCTATCTTTCAACTTTTTAAAACATTACTACATAATAAAAATAAAAAAACGAAAAATTTAAAACTATCAGTTTTACTACGTTAAAGTGCATAATCCATCTTAATTTTGTACTGCTACGGATATTCTTGTTACGCATTTTATCACATTAACAAAGCGAAGAAAGTATATTATGCACTACTTAATTGGTTGATAATTATTAAACTTTATTTAAAGAAAAAATCGACTTTCGAAAACTGAAATGAAGAATTTTGACATTTGATAGCTTTTAAAGTCTTGGCTATAATACTTCTATCGTCGTCCGATCGTGAAATTGCGCAAATTATGATGTGCCTGGTGTTCATGATGGCCTATGATAATTTATCCGCTAAAACAATGCCAAATTTTTATATATATATATATATATATATATATATATATATATATATATATCACGGACTAGCGATATTCTAGGTACTTATAATACAGCTATTTTAATACAAAAATACACTACTCACTGAGGTCTAATTCCCTCCCCCTCTATGTGGCGGCCATTTTGTTTTTTTCTAGAGATATTCTCTACGTGTTTACAAAAATATTCATATCTCTCAAAGTTTTGGTCTTACTGAGATAAAAATTATCTCATTGAGGGCAAGCAATATTGTCTCTTGTTTTTGTTACCAAAAAAATTGTTCACATACTCGTAACTTTAAAGAAAAAAAATTGTACTTCAAATAAATATCAAAAAATTATGCTAATCGGCGAATTATTGTAAATTACTGCAAAAACAACCCCGTTTACCCTTTTTATTTTTTTACACCATCGACAGATTTTGAGTTAAGCTACAATAAAACATAAAATTTACAGCTGTGTGTAAATGTTTTATTATTTTAAGAATTATTGTTGTTTGAACATAGTGTATGCGCAAACACAAAAGGCCTTTGTTTAGTGATAACTGGCACTAAAAGATCTATATATATATATATATATATATATATATATATATATATATAAACCCTGTGGTTCCCGTTAAGTGTGTTATCAGAATCAGTATCCAAGCGTATAGAAAACCACATACAATTTACAAATTATTATTTTTTTCATTAAATTTTTTTTTTAAATGTGTTTTTTTTTGAAAAAATATTTCTCTATGCTTGGATACTGATTATGATAACACAGTTAAAAGGAACCACAGGGTTTTTGTTACATGTTGTATAATCGGAAACGGCTCCAACGATTTTCATAAAATTTAGTGTCCAGAGAGTATCGCAACAACACAAAATAATCGATTTATAAATCTATCTAGCTAGGATTTATTTTTAGAAAATGCCTCTTTGTCCGTGTTTTCAGACAAAAAAAAACTGCTACAATATAAGAAGGTAAATTTTGACAGGTTGCTAATGATCGTAATAGCTCAGATGGGATGTTGTTCGGGCGTGATATCGGTGTTCCGTGGTTTGCGTCCCGTCTTGAGTCCGACTTTTTTTCCTTTTTTTTTTCAAGTTCCCTTCTTTTGTGAGAAAATCTATTATTTCGAGCCCTTTTTTAGTATTTTTTAAAAATACGAAAATTTTAATTAATCTAATTGCACTCATGATTTTGTATTCAAATAACCAGTTCAGATTTTTCTATTATGTCAATAAGATCAAAAACTATTATTCATGTAATTTGTATATAAATGTAACTTAAAAAAAACCGAGAAAAGCTCGGTCATCCGGGTAATATATATATATATATATATATATATATATATATATATATATATATATATATATATATATATATATATATATATATATATATATATATATATATATATATATATATATATATATATATATATATATATATATATATATATATAAATATAAATATATATACCTATATATATATATATATATATATATATATATATATATATATATATAAATGTACATGGCCCTTCAGTCATTTGCCGATTACTCACTGTCGTCAGATGACCTTTCCCTTATGAGTGGGAATATAATACGACTTTTTTGATATAAAATACTGATGTAGTCAAAATAGAAATTTTACTAAATAATTCAAAGAAATTCAAATAAAATGGAACGTATCAATACAAATTCAATTATATTAAAAATCACATATGAACTGTAACCTTTGAATTGCTGTATATCAATATCTAAATCTGTCGCAACAGGTATGGCCACAGCGTGGACAACTATACGATCGTCTTTCACGGTTCTTTCGCAAAGCGTGCTCGGATTTATTGTACCGTTTTCTGTTTGCAGGAAGTATTCTTTGGGATCTTTTCTGTCTCCCCCTCTGCCGTTGCATACTTTCAGGTACCAATTCCACAGCAATCGGTATAATACCCCTCGCAAGGATTTTTAAAATTTCTTTTCCCTTGGATTTACATTTACGAATTAAAACTGGCCGTACACGTTCAAAGTTGCCATGTTTTTTAACTAGCTTATTATTCTGTTTACTTGTACTAGCATGTACACCAGTAATGTCTCTCTTCGTCGAGGCGTCATCAACTCCAGATTTTATAGTTGAGTTCGATTTTTGATTCCTAATTCCAGATCCTCCAATTTTACGGTCATTTAGATTAGATGCGTCCACATCACTGTATCTTTCTAAGCGCTGTATTATATCATTTACCTTACAATTATTATCCATCGCAGGTTATTCCGTATTCTTGATTTATTAGTTATTAAAAATTAGATAAAATCAAATAAAAATTATATAGTTGATTTGTCAAACCAACTTTTATGACAAATATTTAAAATAATGAATGTAATAATTCTTTTTTCCTCTTTTTTTAAGACTTGTACAATGCCAGCAAAAAGGACTTATATAGTTTGTAACTCATATTCTAACAATAAATACGAGTTGAAAATTAGCACACAGTCACAGTAAGTGGATACTGTGGTCTTCAGAAATTAACATCCATCGTCGAATGAAAATGAAAATTCAGATGCGTTTTCACCACTGAGGACTAAGATGCAGTGCCTCACTTCCCGTGAAAAGGGACCCCGGTTCTCTGCACACGCCATACGAAATACAGCAGCGAGCAATTGGATATTTCCATATTTGGCTAGAGCACAAAGCTGGGCGTGGTACCCAAGAGGTGGGATCTTGTTTAAAGAAGTTTATTAGCGTGAATTTTAAACCCGATGTAACTCAGCTGATACTTTGGGCTGATTCATGTGGCGGACAAAACAGTAGCTTCAAAGTGATGCTTATGCTTCTACACATTTTAAACAGTCAAGTAATGTTACAAAAAAATACTATGATATACCTTCAGCCGGGACATACCTTTCGAATGCCTTGGAGTTCGGAGATGTTGAATGTATATATATATATATATATATATATATATATATATATATATAAATGTACGTGGCCCTTCAGTCATTTGCGGCTTACTCACTGTCGTCAGATGACCTTTCCCTTCATCATCATCATCATCATTACAGCCCTTCACAAGTCCACTGCTGAACATAGGCCTCCCCCAAGCAATGCCACAAAGCACGGTCCTGAGCCACCTGCATCCATCGACTTTCTGCATGTCTTACCAGGTCGTCACTCCATCTAGTGGGGGGTCGCCCTACACTACGCCTACCGGTACGAGGCTGCCACTCGAGAACTTTTCTTCCCCATCGGTTATCGGTTCTTCGAGCTATATGGCCGGCCCATTGCCACTTCAGCTTACTAATCCGTTGGGCTATGTCGGTCACTCTGGTTTTACTGCGGATATCTTCATTTCTCAGTCTATCACGCAGAGAAACTCCGAGCATAGCCCTCTCCATAGCTCGCTGAGCGACCTTAAGCGTCCTCATACGATATTATTCTTCATATTTCCCTTATGAGTGGGAATATAATACGACTTTTTTGATATAAAATACTGATGTAGTCAAAATAGAAATTTTACTAAATAATTCAAAGAAATTCACAAATTCAAATAAAATGAAACGTATCAATACAAATTCAATTATATTAAAAATCACATATGAACTGTAACCTTTGAATTGCTGTATATCAATATCTAAATCCGTCGCAACAGGTATGGCCACAGCGTGGACAACTATACGATCGTCTTTCATGGTTCTTTCGCAAAGCGTGCTCGGATTTATTGTACCGTTTTCTGTTAGCAGGAAGTATTCTTTGGGATCTTTTCTGTCTCCCCCTCTGCCGTTGCATACTTTCAGGTACCAATTCCACAGCAATCGGTATAATACCCCTCGCAAGGATATTTAAAATTTCTTTCCCCTTGGATTTACATTTACGAATTAAAACTGGCCGTACACGTTCAAAGTTGCCATGTTTTTTAACTAGCTTATTATTCTGTTTACTTGTACTAGCATGTACACCAGTAATGTCTCTCTTCGTCGAGGCGTCATCAACTCCAGATTTTATAGTTGAGTTCGATTTTTGATTCCTAATTCCAGATCCTCCAATTTTACGGTCATTTAGATTAATAATAATAATAATAATAATAAATCTTTATTTCAGACCAGGGTCCATATTTGGTTAGTAGAAAAGAAAAAACAAAACAAAACGAAGAAAAAAAAATGAAAAAATCAATCAATAAAAGGAAAATAAATTAAAAATAAATCAAAATAAATTAAAATTAACTAAAATTAAATATAATTACTAACTACTACTAAGATTAACTAACTAACATTAAATACACACACGCTTGTTAGCATATGTGTGTGCACCATTCCAACTCCTCCAGAGTGGGCTGTCGAGTTTGCACGCCAACGTGCTGAGAAGGGCATTGGTGCTGTTCACTAAACGGCCCATCATGGATGCAACACGTTTCCGGAAGATCGCGTAGAAGTCGTCTACACGAGCCTCCGCAAACATTGCAGATGCACTGCAGTGACGTGGCTTCCCCAATACCGCTCTCAGCACATTGTTGTACTGCACACGAAGAGTTCTGAAGGTCCGCTGCGTATAGTCCGCCCACAGACTGCACGTGTAAAAAGTCTGGCAGTAGGCTCTAAACAGCGTTAATTTTACCTCTGCATTACAACGCGCAAATCTGCGGGCCAACATATTGCCCCGGACCGACAGCGCCCTTCGCTCCCTCTCTATATCACCGTCGTCCACGAGGCGCTCGTTAACTATATGGCCGAGATATTTGAACTCCGCCACCTGTTTCAGGGGGAATACCACACAATCGTATGATTGGCTGAAAATTGGTGGGTTTGTTTTTTCCCCTGAACACAAGGAACTCGCTCTTTTTGGCGTTGTATCTGAGTCCATTTCTCTCAGCATAGTCCTCACATATTTTAAGTAGCTTCCGGAGGCCACTGACCGAAGGACTAAGCAGAACCATGTCATCCGCATAGCTGATGTTGTTTATAAAGACACCATCAACTGAGCATCCGACACCAGCTCTGCTCAGCCCCTCTATCAGCTGGTTGACAAAAAGATTGAACAGCCTCGGTGACGTAAGCCCACCCTGCCTTACTCCACAGTTCAGCTTGTAGGGGTCACTCATAGCGTCTCCCCATTTTACTACATTTGACTGGTTACCGTACCAGTACTGCAACAACGATAACAGTTCCGGCCTTAGGCTCGTTTCCGTCCTAAGTTTATGCCATAGTACTTTGTACGAGACAAGGTCAAATGCTTTTGACAGGTCCAAGAAGCACGCATACACTTGCGTTTTCCTGTCAGTGTAGTACCGTACAGTCTGCTTGAGACACATTATTGCGCTCTCGGTAGACAATTCGGGCTGAAAGCCGAATTGAGCGTCGTTAATTTTAGTAGCTTTCTTTAAATGTGTATCAAGCAGACTGTCCAGAACTTTAGCTACGATTGTCGCTAGGGATATAGGCCTGTAGTTGGACCTATCCGCTACATTGCCCGTCCTGTTCTTCACTATAGGCACGACCACCGTCATCATCATTGCATCCGGCAGGTGACCATGACTGACACAGAGGTTATAGAGCATGGTAAGGACTCTGGAAAGGTGCACTCCAGCATATCGCAAGTGTTCGACACTCAGGCCATCATGCCCCGGGGATCTCCCCCGCTTCATACTCCTTATTGCGTCATTTACCTCACAAACAGAGAAGCTCAATGAGTCTACCCAAGGGTCTACGGTGTCCCGAGCACCGTCCACTGTTTGACCTACTATACTTAGGGGGTTCCACCCTGAAGTGAGTCTTAAACATATTAGCAATGTTTTGACTCCCTGTTATGCCTCCCACTTCCACAGGAAGGCCCGCCCGTGCATTCAGTCTATTTGTTTGTTGCCAGAACCTACTAAACTGCTTAGTCTCGTGTGTAGAGGCTAAAATGTCCATTTTTAATTGATCTTCATGGTCCTGGCACCATTTTAGTTTATTTTTGAAAAGCCTACGAGACTCCCGCATATCGTCGTATGTAACTCCACTACTCGGCCTCCCAGCCATAACCCACGACTGAAAACACAGACGAGCTCTCCCGTGTAGTGGCCTTACATGCCTATTCCACCCCGTAATATAACCTTTTTTATTTCCCCTTACAATTTTATGACTAACTATTGCCCCTGACTGCAATATGCTTACAATATGAGAGTACATATTATCGATAACTAGTTTATGTTCATCTTTACAACAGGTTTTGCCACAACATTTCGTAAGCTCCATAGGAAAAACTACTTTACTTAGCTTCTCATCACAAGTTTTCGTAAATAGCTTAGTCTGGTCACTATCCCTCTGCCCCCAAAATATCTTATTATTAGAAACTCGAGATGATGGTACCAACTGAGTATGTAAGGGGTTTAAGTTACAAACAATTTCCAAAGGATAGTGATCAGACCACGAGACACTGTTATTTACGGTTATATTCTCAATGTAACCCCTAGCCATCCTAGTTACTAAACAATGGTCAAGCCAACGTGTACATCCGTGAACATCACTAATGTAAGTATACGTCTCCCCATTGTTTGGCAAAAGTTCAAAGTCCGCACAACACCATTTTTGTTCAACACAAAATTGCTGCATTTCATTAAAAAATAATTCACCTGGTTGAGCATTAAAGTCTCCTAATACAACTACCATACTAATACCACTGTCCTCAACAACCGCATTAATCTCGCTCAAACAGTCTGTGAATTCTGGCAAGTTGTCAGTACAGTCAGTAGGCATGTATACCGAGAATATCAACAGATCACATTCACGCAATTTACACTTTATAGCGCAGAGCCTCGCATTATTGCACTTCACAACAGATACCGCCGTAAACGCACTCTTACGCCATAACAGCGCGACGCCCCCCGAAGGGACGGCCGCGTAACATGCCTGCACTCGTATCTACCGCTGACGTCCCTGTGGCTACAAACTCGTCATTAACAGTACTTAGGTAGGCCAAATCATGCGGTAGCAACCAAGTTTCCTGCAGCGCAACCACGTCCGCTGCCACACAAATACTTCTCACACTATCTATTGATCGCTTTAGTGACTTACAGTTAAAGCTAGTTAGCTTTAATTTATAATTATTCTCTCTAATTGACTTCTGATCCATCATTTTTATTATTTTTCCTCGTATCCCGATCTGTAGGTGTTTTCCTACCCTTTCTAAATATTATATATTTTCTGAAGTATATACCTTCCGGCCACAATTCATTATTTGTAAACAAAGACAATTTACTTTTAGGTATACAGAATTTAAATGATGTGTAATCTTTTTCCGCTTTATTATTATTCTTCACTCTCTCCGGCAGTATATGTATATGTGTTTTCTCATATACATATTCGGCAATATCCCGCTCTGTGGCGTCTTTATCGACGTTGTAAATAAACAACGGAATCTGCACCTCCGCAGCCCTGAATTTCCCCAGCGGGTTTATCACAGCTGTTCCTCTCGACCCCTTAAACCTTGACTTTTTACGCTTTTCAACTCGTATCCATTCCCCATCAATTACATCTTGCTTGTTCACGGCGCTTTGTATATCTGCATTCACTACATTGCACGACGTCATCACACCAGCTGACTCAGACGAGACAAGCGCTCGAGTCGTCATCTCCGACCTTAATACGGGAGCGACAGAGACAGCTTTATGATCTTCCGCCTCCGTATCGCTCACGCATGACAAGGATAGGTGCGCGGGCGCCTCAAATGCATTTGCCTCGTGTGCATTCGAAACCGCAGTTACTTGACGAGGGGCCTCCACGTACTCTTGATGTGCCACTTGTTGCACGTGTGTGAATAGGACAGACTTATCTGTCTCCACCGCGCAAGCGCTCGCGTCCGACAAAGACAGGTGATCACCTATCTGTTTTTGCACTGTCATTGTCGACGTATAATTATCGTTACGGACGGTCATTAAGCCCATCGGCCCGCTGTCACAGTCGGGGCTATCTTGTAAGCAAGAACCGCCTCTCTTGCTATTGACATTAGGGTGACTTATGAGTTGCCCTCGTGTATTCTTATGATACTTATCAAATTCAAATTTTAAATCATCTTTTTTAACGTACGTGTCTTGAAATACTGCACATTTCTCACTTATGGCACTGATCTCCCTCTGCATAACTAGCATATCCTTTAGTAAACGCGTCGCGTCTATGTGGTCAAATGTGACCGGTGGCAATTTTTGGATGTCTCGTGCCACAAACGTTGGAAATATCTCAGGATCTGCCCCTTTCAACAACCCAATGATGTCTTCTATGGTTTTGTTTTTACCGGCATCGCCCCTTCGTTTGATTTCCTTTTGTTGTACTGACTCGAACAACAAGCTTTTAGCCTCAGCGATGTCCTCCTCAGAAAATGATTGTCTGCATAACAACGCTAGGCTCACATTATTCATAACATCAAGTTTATTTTGCACAAAACATAACACTTCATTAATAATAATGTTACAACTATTACATTTAATTCTCGTCATTGTCTATCGCTTGAGGTCATCGACGTGCAACCGATCGCGCGCGCTGTCAGCTGACGACTGATTAGATGATTAGATGCGTCCACATCACTGTATCTTTCTAAGCGCTGTATTATATCATTTACCATACAATTATTATCCATCGCAGGTTATTCCGTATTCTTGATTTATTAGTTATTAAAAATTAGATAAAATCAAATAAAAATTATATAGTTGATTTGTCAAACCAACTTTTATGACAAATATTTAAAATAATGAATGTAATAATTCTTTTTTCCTCTTTTTTTAAGACTTGTACAATGCCAGCAAAAAGGACTTATATAGTTTGTAACTCATATTCTAACAATAAATACGAGTTGAAAATTAGCACACAGTCACAGTAAGTGGATACTGTGGTCTTCAGAAATTAACATCCATCGTCGAATGAAAATGAAAATTCAGATGCGTTTTCACCACTGAGGACTAAGATGCAGTGCCTCACTTCCCGTGAAAAGGGACCCCGGTTCTCTGCACACGCCATACGAAATACAGCAGCGAGCAATTGGATATTTCCATATTTGGCTAGAGCACAAAGCTGGGCGTGGTACCCAAGAGGTGGGATCTTGTTTAAAGAAGTTTATTAGCGTGAATTTTAAACCCGATGTAACTCAGCTGATACTTTGGGCTGATTCATGTGGCGGACAAAACAGTAGCTTCAAAGTGATGCTTATGCTTCTACACATTTTAAACAGTCAAGTAATGTTACAAAAAAATACTATGATATACCTTCAGCCGGGACATACCTTTCGAATGCCTTGGAGTTCGGAGATGTTGAATATATATATATATATATATATATATATATATATATATATATATATATATATATATATATATATATAAATGTACGTGGCCCTTCAGTCATTTGCGGCTTACTCACTGTCGTCAGATGACCTTTCCCTTCATCATCATCATCATCATTACAGCCCTTCACAAGTCCACTGCTGAACATAGGCCTCCCCCAAGCAATGCCACAAAGCACGGTCCTGAGCCACCTGCATCCATCGACTTCCTGCATGTCTTACCAGGTCGTCACTCCATCTAGTGGGGGGTCGCCCTACACTACGCCTACCGGTACGAGGCTGCCACTCGAGAACCTTTCTTCCCCATCGGTTATCGGTTCTTCGAGCTATATGGCCGGCCCATTGCCACTTCAGCTTACTAATCCGTTGGGCTATGTCGGTCACTCTGGTTTTACTGCGGATATCTTCATTTCTGAGTCTATCACGCAGAGAAACTCCGAGCATAGCCCTCTCCATAGCTCGCTGAGCGACCTTAAGCGTCCTCATACGATATTATTCCTCATATTTCCCTTATGAGTGGGAATATAATACGACTTTTTTGATATAAAATACTGATGTAGTCAAAATAGAGAAATTTTACTAAATAATTCAAAGAAATTCACAAATTCAAATAAAATGGAACGTATCAATACAAATTATATTATATTAAAAATCACATATGAACTGTAACCTTTGAATTGCTGTATATCAATATCTAAATCTGTCGCAACAGGTATGGCCACAGCGTGGACAACTATACGATCGTCTTTCACGGTTTTTTCGCAAAGCGTGCTCGGATTTATTGTACCGTTTTCTGTTTGCAGGAAGTATTCTTTGGGATCTTTTCTGTCTCCCCCTCTGCCGTTGCATACTTTTAGGTACCAATTCCACAGCAATCGGTATAATACCCCTCGCAAGGATTTTTAAAATTTCTTTCCCCTTGGATTTACATTTACGAATTAAAACTGGCCGTACACGTTCTAAGTTGCCATGTTTTTTAACTAGCTTATTATTCTGTTTACTTGTACTAGGATGTACACCAGTAATGTCTCTCTTCGTCGAGGCGTCATCAACTCCAGATTTTATAGTTGAGTTCGATTTTTGATTCCTAATTCCAGATCCTCCAATTTTACGGTCATTTAGATTAGATGCGTCCACATCACTGTATCTTTCTAAGCGCTGTATTATATCATTTACCTTACAATTATTATCCATCGCAGGTTATTCCGTATTCATGATTTAATAGTTATTAAAAATTAAATAAAATCAAATAAAAATTATATAGTTGATTTGTCAAACCAACTTTTATGACAAATATTTAAAATATTGAATGTAATAATTCTTTTTTCCTCTTTTTTTAAGACTTGTACAATGCCAGCAAAAAGGACTTATATAGTTTGTAACTCATATTCTAACAAAAAATACGAGTTGAAAATTAGCACACAGTCACAGTAAGTGGATACTGTGGTCTGCAGAAATTAACATCCATCGTCGAATGAAAATGAAAATTCAGATGCGTTTTCACCACTGAGGACTAAGATGCAATGCCTCACTTACCGTGAAAAGGGACCCCGGTTCTCTGCACACGCCATACGAAATACAGCAGCGAGCAATTGGATATTTCCATATTTGGCTAGAGCACAAAGCTGGGCGTGGTACCCAAGAGGTGGGATCTTGTTTAAAGAAGTTTATTAGCGTGAATTTTAAACCCGATGTAACTCAGCTGATACTTTGGGCTGATTCATGTGGCGGACAAAACAGTAGCTTCAAAGTGATGCTTATGCTTCTACACATTTTAAACAGTCAAGTAATGTTACAAAAAAAATACTATGAGATACCTTCAGCCGGGACATACCTTTCGAATGCTTTGGAGTTCGGATATGTTGAATGTGCATTAAAATCACAAATTCGTTTATATACTTCAGAAGATTATATTTTATGCTGGTAATCAGTGAGAACATGATCCTATCCCGGTAGGGTCGACCTACTCGTGTTATAACTATCACATAGCTGCAGCATGGCACTGCTGCGTACATATCTATTTATTCAGTTTCAGTTGATGGTTTTAATTCTCTATTTGGACCAATGGATTCTCTATCGATGATTCTCTAACGGTTGACATGTGCGATTAGCGCTAAATGACACTACTGTGAATTATTAATTAACACTGCATTATAGTTTGACCAAGTTCATAAACTTGCACGACCTAGCTATATTTTAATTGAATTCGCTATTTTAATAAAAAACTAAATAATCTTAATTATAAAAAATGTATTTGCATGCTATCCATAGATGGCCGAAAAAGCTGTACTATACTTTGTAATAACCACCTTAATGTAACCTTTTTCAAAGCAAATAAATCTTCATTTCATTTCATTTCATAGGCCTCTCACAACAGGCTGTTTCATTATTACAGTGCATAATTAGAAAGGGACGCTAATTTTCTTCGTTTTCTCTGATTTATTTTAATTCGTCTATATGGAGGCAGGGGTTATATTGTTCGACCAAGTTCGCTGAGGCTTGAGTGAAAGTGTTGAGTACAAAGATTGAATGATCGTGTTGTACCAACATTAGGCGTTTAAATAAACATTAGCTCATTAGTTGTCACTGATTCTGCTGTATACAATGAAGTCAAGTAATTATATACGTGGTAGAGCCACGCTGCTGCTATAATAGTTGTAGCACGAATGGGTTGGTTTGACCAGGGTGGGACCACGCTCTCACAGAGTAACAGCGTAAAATATCAGCTTAAGAATGCTGTGTTTCGTATGGTGAGTGTAGAGAACCTGAAATCCTCTTTACTGGAAACGAGTCATTCCAGGGTGACAACACATATGCATTTTGATTTTTAATCGAGGATAAATATAGGCGTGAACCAAACAACTATGAGGATAAACAATTATTTTATGACTTTCATTCTCAATAGTTTACACTATTAATTTGATAAAACTGTATTTACTTACTTTATCACGTTATATTTGAATACGCTTCATTCATTAATTACAGCTTATCAAAAGTTCACTACTGAGGAAAAGTTTCACTCATACTTGCCATGTTTGGCGGGCAGATAATAACTACAGCTTCTTTTAACAAATTCCTTGTCCGCGAAAGGACACAATAGTCAAACAATCGCAATGTTCCTATATGGTAATATGACTCACGGGATAGTGAAATGGTTAATATTTTGAGTGTTATCAGAAAAATGGTGCTGCCCATATTCTGTTTCAATGACCTTTGTCGCCTCTTACGACACTCACGGGATGATACGAGGTAATGGATTCTCTTACGCCTCCACTACACGACAGATAGATATATTAGTAGATTTAAAGTTTGAGGATCCCCAGGGTGAAGGACATACGGTCTAGTAGCAACATTCGGGAGTTGAGTGTGTTGTAATTGTATGGGCGATCTACCAAAAAGAATAATACCACTAAGATAAGATTCGAAAAAAGTAGAACGCATTTCCTCATTGAAAGTGTTCTATTCTGAAAACTCATTGACCAACCTAGTACTACTATACTTTACATAGATGGAGTAACGCTGCAGCTATATTATGGCTTAAGGACAAATGGGACGGCTACACCGGGGTAGGACCACGCTCTCACAGAATACCAACGTAAAATAGCAGCTTAATGCTGTTGTGTTTAGTATGGTGGGTGTAGAGAACCGGAGACCCCTTTTACTGGAACGAGACATTCCACCTTAGTCTCCAGGGGTGACAACGCATCCGCATTTTGATTTTTAATTGAGGATAAGTGTAGACGACAATGAGCCACAACATCCATTTACCATCAGGTTAACTGTGTGCTCGTCTTTCAACCGTATACT